TCAAATTCAATTTATCTGCTTCAGTTTCAGGTGACGTGCACTCACTAGTAACACAATTTCATATATTTATTATGTTTTACTGAAGTGAAGAACCTTTAGGTTGAGGTTGTACACATTTTAAGGATATGAGGATTCTCCAAAAAAAACGACATCACAGACGTTAACCACAATCCTTATTCTTCCATTCTTTTGTCTCTCTCTCTCTCTCACACACACACACTTGAATCTTCTCCAGGTAAATATCTGCACTTACTTTGCGACAATGGTGTCGTCCCTCGCCAGCCTCAGGATGGAGTCATCAGACTCACCCTGCAGGAGGAAAAATCAAATGTTCACTTGGTCTTCGTGAACTGAAATGATGGACGTGCACCGGGTGTGTTCAACGCTCACTCTGACTTACCATTCTGCGGATGGCGCCACAGATGGCGTAGGTCTTGAACTGACCGTTGAAACGACCAGTCACCTTGTCGACCTGCAGAACACAGTGCACACTGGGTAAGAACTACAATGATACGTTTCAAGAAAGGGTTTTAAAACAAACATGTTGAACGCAAAGACCACAGAACCATTTCCCTGACACTTGGTGGGAGGATGAGACACGAGAGCATTTCTCCTCAGACTGTGTTCACACTTCAACTTTAATATAAGAGTCACTTCAGAGGAGATGCAGTTTAAACCTGCATCTTTAAACCATCAGTGATGGGAACAGTTTGTTTCACAGCTTCACACAAAGAGTTCCAGAGTCTGTAAATGACTCCTGAAACATTTACTATGACAACTTTACATTTTCTTATTTTACCTCAGCAATGTTCATCTGGATGGAGGCATGGTCCTTGGCTCCAATTATTCTGTTGCTAGCAGAGCTGCAATACAAGTGAATTATTTATTAAAATATTGCCAAAGACATTTTCATCCTTCATGACAAAGAACTTTGATCATCTAGTTTGAGCGTAAACAGGAACAAACGACTCGGAAATGTAAAAGTTTTACAAGAATACTCTTGACATGTTTTCTGAATTCTGTAGACGAGGTCGTATAAAAATGTTTAAATACTCGTGAACTGCTCATTTTGGACAATTTTAAAAATCAGCCGATCAAATTAAATCACCTTTTTTTTACTGAAAACGATTTTTATCATGAAATCATGAGATTCTGTCCGTTTGTGTTTCAGCTCCACAATTCTCATCAAAACAAATGAAATCATTCAGAGTCTGGTTTAAAAAACTTACAAACACCGAAAATGATTTGAACTGTGAGAATATTAATTTAACAAAGGGGAGAACTGAGGCTGACATCAGTTAATGTGAAACATTTAAATCACTGAAACACGAAGAGCTCATTTCTTTATTTCTCCATTAACACCGATGACTTTATTATTATCAAGAGCAGATTAATGGTTGAGTGAGAACGTGTTTCAAAGTCTTAGCAGTTCTCAAAGCTAATGAAGGACCAGGTCCCTGAAGAGCGCTCAGCTTCTCTTCCTTCATGTTTAAGTAGTTTTACTTGGTTCATCCCAGATCTAGAAACTCTCTGTGATCAGGTGCTTGTGGCTCCTGGTCTTTGCACTGACTTCAGATCAGACTGAGGACGTGTGTCTCCAGAACCCTCACGTTGTTCACCTGATGCAGATGTTTCAGTCATTTTATTTTAACTTGTCTGTCTCACTGTCCTCCACCGATGAGTTTCAGGAGTGAACAGATCTGGAGTCAGTGGTTTTTCTGAAACGTGCTGAACGTCTCCACGTGTTCTGGTTTTCCGGATCAGCACCGACACAGAGACATGTCCCCGACACCCCCCCGGCTGTGATGGACACGCTGGACGTGGACACTCACCATTTGCGGGGGACGTACAAGTCCACGAATTCTCCAGCGTCGTTCTGCATGTTTGGTCTTGTACCGGTGGTCACCTACAAACCTGCAACACAGGGAATCAAACCTCGGTCACGACCACACACCCAGTCTCTGATGCTAGCTAGCTAACGACACCATGCTAACAGTTCCATGTTAATACGGGAGCTAACGACACCATGCTAACACAAGAGCTAACGGCACCATGCTAGCGGCACCATGTTGACACACGACGCCTCGTTCGCAGCCTCGTGTTCGGTTAAAACGCAGCTGACGCTCCGACAGAACCGTCCGAGCTACACGCGACCGTCCCGCGGTGTTAGCCGCTTAGCATCGGTTAGCATGAGGGGGGGGGGGGCTCGCATCACGACGGCATGTGGCCGCTCACACACTCGACAAACTGCGGATACTTAGACACACTTCCAGCGTCACACACCGAGGACACACACCCGCGCAGACACACGGTCACAGTCGGTCCAGATTATCACCGAACAACAGACGGAATCCAGCGGATCGAAGGTTTGAAGACGAGAGCGCGAGAGGAACTCACCGACTCCGACAAATGGCCGACAGGAAAGAGAGAGGCGTGACCCGGAAGTAAACGTATCTGTGTCTGGATGCGCTGGATTTGTCGCCACCTGCTGGTGTAGTACTGGTAAAACACTGAACTCAGTCACTGAAGTGAGCATCAGTTTGACTGAACCATGAACTATCCTCACCCAGTGAAACACTACCTGCAGGTCTCAGTCCTTCCTCTTTCAAAACTCTGAACACAGTCTCACGCAGTAAAACACAGCGAGAGTCTCTGTGATGCACTTGTGACGCATAACGGTGAAAACCAGCAGTAAAATATGAACACAAGTGAAACACACGTGTCGTCCACTGAACACAACGATTCAAACTCGATCACACTTGTTTCTCTTCATGTCGTGACAACATGAAAACCAATGTAAGTTCCGAGTGCAGCAGGTTGGTCCTGCAAGCTCACGACAACAATGGATCAGAGACACAGAGGACGAGTGTGTGTAAGAGGAGGTGGAGGTGGAGGACAAGAAGGAGGGAGGGGAAGAGGAGGGAGAGGAAGAGGAGGGAGAGGGAGAGGAGGGAGAGGAAGACCAAGAGTGGCAATTTCTGATGGTGGTGCAGTAATATAACACTGTGTGCTGCTGTAAGCAGCCGGAGTGTTCTTCACCATCGTGTCACTCTGGTCATGTGCTGTAACACCCAGCACCTTCTCACCTCTCCTGGTCTTAGAGATGAGTCGTCTGCAATGAACAGAACTCGAGATGATGGAGCGGAATACTGATGTTATGATTTGGGACAATGTTAGAGTGTGATGTGGATGAAGAGCTGTGGCCTGACCCAGAATCATGGCCGAGTATAAACTAACAGAGACAACACAGACACAGACACAACACAGACACAGACACAACAGAGACATGGACACAGACACAACACAGACACAGACATGGACACAGACACAGACACAGACACAGACACAGACACAGACATGGACACAGACATGGACACAGACATGGACACAGACACAACAGAGACATGGACACAGACACAGACACAGACACAACACAGACATGGACACAGTCACAAAACAGACACAGACACAACAGAGATGCTGACACAACACA